CTCTTCAATATTTCTAAAGTCACTTTAAACACAATCCTAACTAAAAGCTTATGACAAACTACTGTTTTTCAAGAAAGTCCACGAAGGTCGTTAAAAGGGAAAAAATGTATCCTTGAAAGGTCCTATATGATCTCATTTCTAGTTCAGCTGTTTCAAATTTATCTTCTGTTGTTACTGTGTCTCCGTTTTTTCACTGTTCACATGCTCAACGTACAATCTTCAGGGATACTGTCCAGCTAATCTCTCCTCACTACAGGAGAACCCTTTTATCCATTGTATTGAATCAACATCTGTAACTTATAAGCACATCTTAGCTCTCTTTAGCCTACTTTCTCTTTAGGGGAAATCAGTACAAATTTATCATCTAGTAGCTAATAATAAATGTAATCCTTTATAACTGCAACTTGGCTTTCTCCCAGTGGCAGTTACATCATCGGTAAAGCCATTCCACCTGGCCTCCTTTCTCCTCTTTTCCCCTAGTGATAAAGAGGAAGTGATTTACTGGACTTAATTAGATATATTCCTGCCTTGAAGCTCCATTCACCTTCTCTTCCTGTGGATGCCTGCCTCTTTACAAAGCATCCTTTCCATCTATTACTTATTGCTGCCAAAATAAGCTCTTTTTTTTTTTTCACAAAGATTTTGCAATTTCTTTATTCAATGTTTCACCAAGTTTGAGGCAAACTTCTGTGAGAATCCTGATCCTGTCTCATCCTGGAAAAGTTCACAGTGCTTTCTCAAATCATATTTGACTTCTCAACTCAGTCAATTCTTCATCTGTTTATTGATAGAAAACCAAATTATAAAGCTCTCATATTTTTTAATTAGTTTATCAGTCCCTCACTATGCAGCAGCATTTTTCATGCTCACAGAACAATTCAGTTTCTTTTGCCCTTTCAGAAGTTCTCCCAGAATGTGAGTGAGTATTTCACCAACTGGATGTCATGAGTGAGCCTCACACAAGTTCTGCATTGCCGGAGCCCTGTGATGGCCATGTCCCTTGGGCTCTGCCAGCCTTTTCAGCAAGGGATTTGCAGCAACTAGTGGTACCTTCTTGTTTGCAGAGCTGGAGAAATGAATGATAAATATACTGACTGCCTTTCAAGTTAACTATTTTTCAGTTAACAGAAAAACACTGACAAGGTCTTTAAATTGGAAGTGCTGACCTTGGATTACCTGTGACCAAATGACAGAAAAGTGAGCTAAATCTATTCAGCTACGTAAAAAAAAAGTCCAGTGTCTTTCTATTTAAGATGAGATAAATATGCTATAGAAACTGTATTTTAGAAACTAGGTATCCATTTCTCATCCTAGATTAGCATCCAACTATATATTATATGCCTATCCCTTTGACCATTGTCTATTACTTCATGTGATCTGAACTGGGTGATTTTGGGAACTGCCTTCTGAATCCATGAATATTTCTCATTTCAGTTTTTATTGGTTGATAAAAACCTACAAACACCAAAATGTCAATAAAACTTACTCCAGAAGGACACATATACACAAATTATGAAGGACCCTAGTTTACTGGTTTTTTCCTTTCCCTCCATCTGCAAAATCAACTCCTGAACAATCCAGAAAGGATTCTGGTGAATCCTAAAATCTCATCATGCATTTACCCTTCTAGTAGTTCTGCTTAGGAAATATTAGTCATACATATTTAATTCCACATTCACCTCACAATGTTCTTCACCTCCTCCTCTGAAAATATTGGGCCACTATAGTTTGCATTTTTTCTTCCACAATCCAGTTAAATTACAGACTTACTGCCCTTTGGGGTTTTTTTAATATAATTATTTTCCATAATTACATACATATAATATATATAAACATATACTTTTATTGGGGGGGGGCAAAATTGTAGGGTAAATAAGAAAAGCACTTTATAGGTCTTTGCCTTGTTTCTTACCCATTTTTTTATAGTGTTGAGGACTGAAAAGCCTGAGTAAATGATACATTCTCAGCTAAGCTATTGAAAACCCTGATAGAAAAGTAAATGCATAGGAGCCTACTGTATTATAAAATATAAATACAAAACATTTCATAGAACTGCAAGGCTGAACTTGTGGTATGTAAGACAAAAGGGAATTTAAAGATTTTTTTTTTTCTTATTTGCACCTCCTCCTTCTCTCTTCACACATGCTTCAGATATTTCTTTCAAGAAAATATTTTGGAGAATGACTGCATTTCTAAGGAAGTGATTGCCTTGAGCACCGACTTGCCAGACCTGTCTGGTCTCATCCTCTCCTGGGTATGTTGCTCAGGGACGTGCATAACCTGAACTTTCTGGATACATGCAGAGTGGTTTGCAGGCAGGAACAAAGTCAAAACCCTGCACCATTCGAGTCACCACACAAGTATCTACCAAAATTGTAACTACAGAATGAGATGGGCACAAGCTGTGTTAATCTGTCTTTCAGTCATAGTGGAATGGCAATAAATACAGCTACAAACTCTCATATTTTCTGCCCACCTGAATAATAAAAGTTCCTGCATTTATGCATGCAATTTATTCAAGGCCTCAATACTTGTAGTGTGCATTTTTACAATGGCTCACACTGAAGTATTCTGGAAAAAACCCAACAAACCTAATCTAGAAAATAAGTATCGTTTTAATACAATCTAATTAAAACACACAAAAAAAACGAACCAAAAAAAAAGACTGCAGGAAGAAGTCAAGGTCCAAACCCTGGAAAGTCTTATCTTACTGAAAACTAACTTAATTGAATAAAACTTGCTGGCAGGACTTTTTTTTGTGTGCCTCTTTGAAAATCACAAATAAGATAAAAATGAAAACAAAGCTACACTGTATTGTGCTTAAACATTCCTTTATTCAGGCTTCTGGTATTTATAGCTGATGTAGGTTTTGTTTCATTATTACTACTGCAAACAGACCTTCAGCAGTATGTGTGTTTTCTCATCAAAGCAGGTTTCTTCAGTTCCTATTGGCATTTTTGCTTCTTACAGTTACTGGTAAATTATAAATACTGCTGATCTCTGAACCCAAATTTCTGCTTTTTTTTTTCAGAATTCAGCTTGTTGAATGTTGCTTAAATTATTAAAAGGGAAAAAATCTTAACTACAGCTCATATCTATGTATAATGGGGGAATACACAACTAGCATTTTTGGTCATCAGAATCCCAAGCTACCAGTGCCAGTGGTGCAGGTATTCCAATAAAAATACAATGGAAGTTTAAATAAACTCTGAAAGGAGCAACAGCCTCCAGTTAAATGTTACATCTTAATAAAACTGTTTAGCATAATTTGATGGAATCAAAATAGAAGTATTATTTGGCATAAAACTTTTTTCTTTAACCTTCATTCTGCAAAGTATGTTCACAATATGCAGCCAAGTTGTTTTGCAGGCAATTGATTATTCATACTTTAGCTCCATAATAATACAGCTCAAATCTTGTTTGTGTTATGACAAATAAGGTTCCTGAGAGTTCAGCTTAATATTTCATAGTATTTGTAAGTATGGTTGTTTCTTTGGTGTAAGGCTGTTTTGGAGATGATTTGCAGACAGGGGAACATGTCTGTAAGTTCTAACCAAACTCTTCTTTGTACTAAAGGAATATCCCTACTAACATACATACACAAAGTGAAAATTCTTCAATGTAGAAAAATGTTTGAAAAAGGCACTGCAAGTTGTGATGGCATTTTGTGAAAACACACACCCTTAGCCCAAAGTCAAACTGTCTGTTCTAAAACATGTGTTCACCCTAAAGTGCTTTAACATATGTTTGTGGTCCATGGACTTCAGCGGTTCTTAAAGACATGTTTAAGTACGTTACTTGGTCAGTATCAACAGCAGTAAAGCTCTTTAGTATTCCAAATAAAAACTTCACTGAATACTTCTGAGAGTTTAAATAAACCTTGAAGAATATATTTTATGTCACAGTCCATACTTGCTCTTTTCTTGGTTTAACAGAACCAAGCTGGGTAAGGAAGCAGGCTGCAGAGCTCAGGCTCCCTGCTCCTGCTGCAGAGAGACAATTTCAGTGTCAGGGGTATGTGACAGTGAAAGGACTGGAGGCTGCTGCACTCACTCTCATGCTCCCCAGGTACACTACGTGCTTGAGAGTGAGCTGACCAGAGTATTGCTGGATCGTGTGGGAAGGAACTGAACCCCTTCTGAGGAGGGCTCCTTCCCTTTCACATGGAAGAAAGGATTCATCAAAACAGACTCAGCAGTTGAGTTACAAAGGCAAAGACCTGTTAGAACTTTCTAACAAAGCAGGCAAACTAATGGGGCTAACAGGCAGTAAAGTCTTCAGCGATTCAGCAGAAACAGACCCTCAGATGTTCTGATGCATTTAAAAGAAAATCTAGAAAAGTACGAATATATTTTTCTTAGGAGAGCAGCAGTAGTGGCCAATTTCAAATTGTAAAACTGGGACAAACTGTGTAAGTACCAAATTTCCTTTATACTAACTATAGTTTCAACACAGGACATCTGGCAGACAAAGTAGGTGATACAAATTAGATTGTGAGATAAACATATATAATAAAACAAGTGAATCAACAGAAATTCTACAGGAGCCTATGTGTGGTACTTTGACCGCCTGTGTTCCAAGGTGGATGTGAAAATGGTTCCATGCACCTGCATCTTCAGAAGCATTATTTGAACCTGTTACCATTGAACATCACCATAATGTTACATTTAATTTTTACATTATTGGATTTTATTGTATACCATGTATGGGACGCATTTTTAATCTCTGTTACCACCATGCAGCAACTGAGAAATGATGCTATACAGTGTGTTCTATGCACCTTCCTTTTCACTGAATTTGTGACAGTTTGCTGAACTTCAGACCACTCGATAAGCTAGTGAAATGCCTTTCAATCCAGCATGATCACACAATTAAGTCTGAATGCTATCATGACTTAACACTATTCTTAAATCTTGCTGAGATCTACAGTGCAGAGCTGAAGCTGTCGTTACTAATTCTGTAATAGACATCAGGAGAAGAATAAACAGAAGAAAGCTTACTTCAAAGACCAGCGTCTCATTAGTCGGTCCTGCTGCATATAGACTCTCTGGATGGCTAAAAGAGCGTTGATAATCAAAAACTGTTCCAGCGAAAGGGAACTTTCCTGGCCAGTCAATTGTCCAATCTCCTGTCAGGTAATACTTTTTACCAAGGTTGCGCACCGCGAGGTAACTGGTGGAGACTTGTATCTCCTGCAGCTGTATGCTGCGTGCGCCTGCGGGAACAGTCACCACGGCATAGTAGTCTGCAAGGAGAGAAGTAACCAACGTGTTTGCAGCTATCATACAGATAGACATGGTTTAGCATTTTTGAGCCAGCTGAAATTATTGCAGTTTAAAAGTTAATGAAGTCAGCTGTTCTGATCCACCAAGTTACTCTGCTTTCACAAGGAAAACCAGTTATGATTTTAACCTGCCCATGTACCCTGTAATCAAAGCAACAATGAGGTAATTCAATTCCTGAAATTTTACGTTGTGATTAAAGACAAGAAAAAGCAAGTTCACCTTAGAAAAATACAGAACACACTAATGGTGGGTCCACTGCAATAGTGTAGCTCCCTGCAGCAGCTGGAAGGTACTACTTCCATCATGGACAAGGGCTGTGAGATTAGATGCACTGGGATGCATAGTCTTCACAACGCCCTGGATACCATGGAATCTCCTGGCTGAGAGGCAGTGCTGTATTACCATATCCAGAAGAATTTCCTGGCTTGTATTACTGAAATATTGACATGTCTTATGATCAGCAGTAAATGGACCCTCAAAATACCCCTGTGGGTACAGAAATCTTATCTGCATTTTATGCGTGAGAAACTGCAGCACAGCGAGATTATTTCCCAAGAAGACTGTGACAGTCCACTAAAGAAAAGTCCACCTCCCAGTGACTGGATCTTCCACTGAATCAGCGGGATAGCTTCCAGTCAACTTAATTTGAAAATGGACATAGAAATACTGTCATTTTTGGCATTATGCTGTGTATTGCTTTTTATATGCTCTACAGTCCCACTGCAGTCAGAGCTGCTGACAGCTATTTTTTCCCTTGCCTGAATCCTAAAATCTAAGAGGAAATTCACATGTAAAGGGAAAATGTGGCTTAAGAAACAAGAGGTTTGACCAAGACTTATGCTCATAGCTTTCTTGTTACCAAGAAACAGGAGAAATGTGAACTCTTCTCTCATTCTCCCTATGATTTTCAGTTCACATCTGGACTCATAGCCACTGCCCAAATGAGCAAGGAGTCATATATATTACGTAGGGATACAGCAGAGCAGTGAGTTGATGATCATGTGGAACAGTTTTTCTTACCATTAGCTTTGTGCTGGATCAAGTATTGGCCTTTAAAGAACTTGCATGTTGAATTATCTCCTTTACAAACTCCACAAGCATCCAATACAGCTTTGGAACCAAGTCCATGATCACACCCTACTTGCTGCAACCAAAAGGCACAAGTGAAGGACTCAGACACAAGGGAATTTGAAGAAACAGCTGCATTTTCCATAGAGGAGTCAATTGCCCACTTAAAAAAAAAAAAGACATTAGGATTGTAAGAAACTTAATTTTGTCTTACTTCACATATTCCATCAATACAAACATCATATTTATTTGGAGAACACAGAGTTCCATCTTTCACTTTGCTGGACATTGCGAAGAAAAAGTCGAAGTCTTCAGCTGTGCAGTACAATTTGCATCTGTCTTCCTCTGGGGAAACAAACAAACAAGCAAGGACAAGAAAGCATTAACAGGCCTGCAGCACAGTTTTAAAGGAAAAAAAGGCACCTTGCTGTTGTTTCTTCCTGCATCCTCAAAGAAAAGCCACAAGGATTAATTGTGCATGGTCAGATCTCAGAACACCAAGATGGGCAGAAATATAGCTAAATAGAGTAGTTTACAATATGCTATTCTAAAAGCACCTGTGGGTTTGCTTGTCTGCACACAGAAATAAGAATTCAAATGCAGTGTGAAAACAAGCATATTGCCTTAGCTCTGCTGCTGTGCCTCAACTTCAGTTTCACTGCTTCACAGGTTCAAATTTCATTTTTAAGAGATATTGGAGATTGCAGTAATTTTATTTGAAGTTTAGTTAAAATTTGGGAAAGACATAAAGTGCCACAAATGATCAGATCAGTTGAAGGCTAGGACTGTGACCAGATTTCTCCCTAACAAAAGCATTTTTCCTCAAAAAAATCCCAACCGTTGTCAAATTTCTCCTTACATATGGATGGTGTATATTGCTTATCAAAGGGTGATTAATTCTGCACAGACAAAAACAGACATGCAATTGCAAATATTGTCACAATTGCTGAAATATACAATTTAAATACAAATAGTAAGTGCAACAAATAAAACAGCCCAATAAAATTTTGAAGAACATGAAATTAAACAAAAGAGTGTATTTTTATTCTTAAATCAGCAGTTGGATTTCCAATAGTCCATTCTACAGAGGCAAGGCATCTGTAGCATTTTTGAAAACCAGATCATGTTTTCAGGTCTATAAATGTAGATCTTGGGGGAGCTTTTGCAAAGCAGCTATGGAAGTAAGTACAGAGTTCAGAGTCACTTGGGGACATCCTGCTTTTGAAAATTCTGCCCATTATCCCTAAATTTAACCTCCTTTTTTTATTACTAAAGACAGCCCCTGTCTTTAAAACCAATGTAGGCCACTTTAATTTCTAGTAAACTAGATGCATTATTCTCCCTATAATACAACATCCACCACTACATGCTGTGAAACCTTATCATCTCTTTCCTCTGTTCACACTGGTGTTAGTGCACAGGTTTCTCAATACCCAATAAAATATCCACAAAGACTTTTGAAGAAAATATAATCAGGCTATGAATGAATGATACATGTACATGTATGTGTCCACGTATTTAACTATACAATTTTCATCAAAAGCAAATTATACAGGTGTTAAACAAAACAGCTATGTTGCGACATAATCCGGACACTTTTAGTCAAGTAGCTGCAGGCATGAACTGTGCTTTCAAACTGGAGAAAATGTTTGTTTTACCTGATAAAAGTGAGTACTGATTCAAAATATTTGCAAAACTAAGATGCATAAAGTAAAAATAAATTTTCTTGTACAAAGTAAGAAATTATTGAGACCTGAACCTGATAAAGATCTCTTTAGTAAAAGATGACTAAAAATGTATGCCAGTACATTGTTTGGTTTTCCACTTCTCATGGGACTATACCAACAGAAAAGTCAAAAAGTTGATTTACTGGTACATTTCGAAATCTGAGAACATTCCAAAGGAAGGAAGATTCCGGCAGTGTTATTGTGGAAACTTATGTTTCCCATGCTGAAAAACCCATGGAAATTGTTTTGAGTTTCAGACTAACCAATATGTAACATGAAATGAAAGAGAGGGGTAGCAACAGACAGGGCGTCATGCTAAGGACAAGGACTTGAATTCACAACCCAAATCAATTCTACATGTTCATACAAGCAGGATCATACAGGCTGAATACAACTTTGCTAGAAATCAAACACATCTCAAACAAGCCAACTGAATCTCTATTTGCTTATATTGGGTGGTATTTGCCCAGAGAACACTCAGGGCTTAGAGCTTCCTGCATCTGTCTGTCCATCAGAGCAGGGGCATAATTACCTTCCACTTTGGTGTATGGCTTCCACTTGTAGTACCACCCCCGGAAGGGTTTGCTGTTGTACTCTGCACACTGCTGGGCACGGAAGTCCAAGCTATTTGCTGGACAGGGCTGATGATTACAAAGCTGATAAATACGACTGGAACCTTGGCAGAATTTGCCCCCATACTGTGGCCTCAAAAAAAAAGAGAAAACAAAATCATGTTGCAAAATCTCCTTTATGTGTAATTGGCATATTACACGTGCACAAGCATACAGAGAACAGGAGAGCACATACTGTCATGGAAGATCAGTGTTTCTGGTAAGGGCCATTAATTTTCACAGTTCCTAAAACCAAGCAAAGCAGTTGCCATCAATTATCTACTTGGATCACTGCAAACTCAGCAAAGATGCAACCATCTAGAGGTGAGTCATGTTTTACTAATTTAAATTTATAGGGCTATTTGGTAATGGTTGGGTTCAAGCTTGTTATATAGCTATTTTTACTCTGCTGCAACCCAGGAATGAACATGTGCAAAGAATGATGTATCACACTTAGAGTTAATAAATGATAACACTGATCAAACACAAAGAGAATGAATAATCACATTCGCTTTTTCATTTCTTTAGTAAATCATTTTGAAAAAATATGCTTTTAAACAGTCAGGGGAGACAAGGACTGTACATTAATGTCCTGCTTTAGGAAAATGCTAGAATTCAGGGATAATTTTAAGCATGTCACATCCACTTCAGCAAACCTTACCTGGGAATTTCCCTTCATTCTGTCCAGAATGAAAACAGCACCATCTATCCCCTTGCTAGCATCTTATATTATGGCACTAACAGTTTAATTATTTGGTCTGCGCACAGACATTGAAAACCAATGTAAAATGCAAGAGTTGCGCTTTTTAACTCAGGAATTCACTGGTGTTATTTGTGCAGTTTCACAATGCTCAGATACACATCTGCAAATACTGACCCAAATCTTCAGAACACCAAATTCTAAGAACTGTTTGTCACATTATACAATCCTTGCATCAAGCGAAGGGAAATATACCAATGCTGCACTTGCACTCCTTTATCTTTTTTAAATGAGAGAACATACACATTTGGAAGACAAGCCATAAACTTTCAGAGGACAGCTTGTCCATATTATATGCATATTAAGGAAAAGTACCTTGAATAGTGCAAAAGATACTGAATAACAGTAATATATTAACTAACAATAAAAATTCAAAATAATAATAGTATAAAAGATACAGTTGCAATGTATTGTTTGTTTATATCCCTAAACACTATGTTACAACTACTCCCCACATAAAATATCCCATGCAACTCTCCTGACATGCTCATGCCTGGAGTAACATGGAGACAGCTCGGTGCAACACAGAGGAGAAAATCTAGGTACTGCTTCTGTTTGCTTGAGTATAAATTTTAACCTCCCTATGTCTAACCCTCTAACCAAGCTGGGGCTTTTTTTATGTTTTGACTCGCTTTGAACACACAGTGTCTGCCTTTTCCAGAATTTTGGGCTACAAAACAGTCTTTCAGAGGAAGAGATGGAAACCCATCCACTACTGTATTTAAAATTGCATTAGCTATCATGTGGAAAACCCCCAAAACTTCTAGTGACTTTTCTGAAGGTCACCTGCTAGCTACACTCACGCTGGGTATAATGGTGAAGGACTTAAAGTCAGATTTTCTGTCCTAGCTGGTGGCATTTCAGTGTGTGAAAGGCAGGGAGGATATGGAACATCAGTGAAGTCAGGGAGTATTTATGTTGACTTGGTGCAATTAGTGAGAGCTTTGAGTTAAGGAAGCCAAACTGTTGGGTCCTGACTCAATTCTCTACAGACTTCAGCACATGTATGATTTTTGACCTCCTTCAGCCCCAGCGACAAAATCTGCTCTAGTGCAGGAAAAGAAGCAACCTCCTTCCAAGTAAATGCCACCTAACAAGCAATATAATAGAATTATTTATGGCTACATTGAAATCTGCACTCTTGAATTTGAGGATAGGATAAAATTCCTCCAAACTAAGGGAGCTCTGAAAAAGGCATTCTGTTTCCTAGCTCTGTTACAGCATTTTAATATTACAGTACACTCCCATTACTGAAACTGTTGGCTAGAGAATGATGGAAACTTCCCCACCTTCATTTTTACCAACAAGATGTCAGTAAGAGTTAAGTAATTCACAGGAAACTAGATGGATATCTACAAAATCAAATTTCTGAGAAAAGATTATTATCTACAGTGACAAAATCATGCTTTTCTTGGGGACATTTATACCATCAGTACATTTTGGGTTGAGTGCCTCCAGAAACTGTTAGGGTAACAGCCTTCACAACAGAATGCCTTGCACAGAGGGTGTTCTACAGTGGTGCAGAGTTCCTAACACAGATAGAGCCTATAGTTTTCATCCCTCTGTGCACCTCCCCAGCACTGGCATGCATAGGTAATGATCCCTGCAAGAACAGATGCAGGTAGAGCTCAGGCCTTGTTGAGGATAATTGGAAAAGAGAAATTGGTTGAGAAAGGCCAGGAAAAAAAACAGTCTCCAAAGATGAATTTGGAAAAGGAGTGTAAGTGCAGATATATAAATACTCCACTTCATACAAGACTCAAATGTTAAAATGCTACAAGAACAGTTTAAATTAATTCTGCAGTACCCTTTTAAGGTTAGACTTTATGAACAATGAAAGTGGATATTCACTGCAACCCAATACAGAGAGTGAGAAACAGTGCAATTAATCTGGTCAAGGAAAATATTTTCTGCATTACCAAAGGACTCTGAAATTCTGGACTCCTATTTTTTCATGTTTGTAATAATTTAAATTCAAGTAAGAACACTTCTGCTCATATTGTGACACTATTATGATTGCATCACAAAGCAATTTTATTCTGCATGAATCTGAAAGGTCTACAAGGTCTTTCACAGTCTTCATTTTTTAGAAGCATTTTAAGTGACATCACTACTTTGCATCAGTTTACATATGCATTGTCTGTAATCACTGTTACAGATATTGTACGTAAAAGATAACAAAAATGTATTCGAGCAGTTTTGATTTAGTCTTTTGATTGCATACACGCCTAAAACTTCATTCT